TCCAAACTCTCTCTCCATCCTGGCACCTTCCTCTCTATCTAGAAATATATTCCGGTTTCCTCCAGCCCAAAAGCACTCCCTCTATTGTACACCTACATCATTTGCTCAGTAAAGCAAAGGAGCTTCACTGCTAACCCTTCTGAAAGAGTAGCTTACACTCACTGCTTCCTACTCCTCACCATTCACTCATGTAAACCCTTCCAGTCTGGTCTCTGTCCCCACCACCCAGAAAAATGACAAGCTCCAAGGTCATCAGTGCTCTCTGAACCACCAAATCCATGGCCTTTTCTCAGTTATTATACTCCTGGGCCTCTCCATAACATCTGACACTACTGATCTCTCTCTCTTCATGAAACACTCATTTCCCTCGGCTGCTATAGCATTTTCTAACTGCTCTTTTTGAGTTTCTATACCAGATCTCTTCTCATCTAACCCCCTTAACTATCAGTTCTCAACTTTCCCTCAGCTGTGACACATGGCTGATGTTTACATGGGTGGCACATTTCCATGGGCATTCCCAGGGTTATGCTAGCTTCCTTTCAAACTCAAAAAAGTATCTGTATAGGTAAGAATGACAATCATAGGGAAATTACAATCCACTTAAAATTCATTTTGTAATAAATCATTTGGAAACCTAGGGACTTTAAGTACTGTTAATAAAAACAAATTAATTGCCCAGTACAGGCATTCCGTGAGATTTTAGTCCAGGTCCTCTTACCTACCTCTATGGTCTTCCCTGGTAGTCTCATTCTGCACAGCCTCAACTCACTCTGCTATGCAGGTGACTTCCAAATCTGTTTCTCCTGCTCTGAACACTCTCTGAGCTCTGGATTCACATGTTGAAGTCACCTGGATGTCTTGATAACAGTCACCTGAGTGTCCCAGTAATAACTAAAATCAGCCAAGTCAAAACTGAAAATATTATTTTCACACTAAACATGGTTCCTCTTTCCAACCTGCCTATTTTGGCTGATGACACCACCCAGGCTTAAAACTGCAGACACATCTTAAGCTGCTCCCATCCCTTAACACCCACTTCAACAAGTCCTATAAATTCCACTTCTGTAATGTTCTTGCATCCATGCTCCCCTCCCCATTCCTTTTACCATCACTCTGTCACAGACGGTTACTTTTCATCTGAAATATTGCTCTTCTGTGTCTCCTCCATATCCATACTCTCACTGCTATCAAATGAGTCTCTCTCAAACAAGGGTCACACACTCAAATACCCAGGAGCCAACAACATTATGTAAATGAGTGAAGCAAGCCAGGTGTTTGCATTTTAAATGCAAGATTACTCACCTCTACAAAGAAATACACTCTCCCACTTCTTGGAACCTATGATCCTCTTAGTCTTAGTCTATCATTTACTTTACCAATTTTGATAGACATTGGTACAGAAAACCATTTCTGTACCACTACTAAAAAAACAACAGTAAGAACAGTAATAAATGGCAACTGACACCAGGTCTCAGTTAAAGGGAGAAAACAGGGAGTAGTTGGGGACAAACTGCACAGCGCTGGTCCATTTAAAGGAGACAATGCCCAACTCTAGCCAATTAGAGCCTTGCAAGAATGGGGGACTACTACTGCCAAATCTTTGGAATTTTTAAAGAAAAGCCAAAAAAAAAAAAAATCTAGATTTTGTTGCTTGGTTTCTTTTTCTCAGAAATGAACAAACAAATAAATAGGCTGTTGGAGACTCAACCCCTCCTGTTCTGCACCAAGCATTTTCCCATACATTCTGGTTCATACATTTAGCTCACAGCAACTTCCTGGGGAAGTGAAACAACATAACAGCCTTTATGAAAAGCCACACTGGACCAGACTTCATTTTTTAGATCCTCCTCCACACATGGGTCATGTGTTCACCTGGAAATACACACTGGACCAAAAAATTAATCATGTCCCAAAGGGTGGGAGAGACGAACCTAATAGATCCTTAAATCTGCAGGTCACTCCCCATTTCCCTGTAACCTCGTAAATACACCTGCTTAGCCAACAAACTGCTTGCTTATACCACCTCACTCACCAGTCGTTTCCCACTTTTTGGCCAATCAATCGCTTTACAGCCCTGTTCAAAATGCACCTCCCCCAAAGGAGCACTTCTTGATGAATTCTTTTTTGTTTTCTCAGCCTCAGTCTACACTACGGAGGCCTGCAGGGCTGTATTAAGTATTCTTATGTGTTTCTGTACCGAATTTTTTTTATTCAAGTACAGTTGATTTACAGTGTTGTGTTAATCACTGCTGTACAGCAAAGTGATTCAGCTATACGTATATATACATTCTTTTTTCTTTACATTACTTTCCATTATGGTTTATCATAGGCTATTGAATATAGTTCTCTGTGCTATGCAGTAGGACCTCGTTGTTTATCCTGTGTTGCTGAAAGTAATTCGTGAATTTCTCCAGGGAACGAATGGACTTCTTTCCTACTCATTCTTGACCTCCCCAAACTTCCACCAGGCATGTTTCGAGGTGTGTGGGGTTAGGGAGGGAGCCGCAGACTGACGCTGCTAAAGCACCTCACAGGCCTACCGGGGCCAAACCCCAGCTCCAGCGAGTGGTGCCTGGAACTAGCGGAATCAACCCGGACCCCGCCTCACCCGTCAGTTCCCCAGTCAGGTAAGTTGCCATCTTGGAGAACATGTCCCGGCAGAGTTCAGTGATGTCAGCCTCAGCGGGCTCCTTTGCTTCCTCAGCGGTCTCCACGGCGGCATCATCTGGATCAAAAGAGAATGAGTAAGGGTCCCGCCCTGCCCTGGTCCTAATCTAGCCACAGACGCCTCTCCCTACATCCCTCCACCTGTCCTCATTGCATCAAATCGGCTCCATTCTCCATGCGCCGTAATTTCGAGTCCCTCACTTCGTCCCTGCCCCACCTGACACGCCAACTCTGCTCCCTTGCACCGGCCTCAGCTCACACTCTACCCCGCGGCCAAACCTTCTCAGTCGCCCTGACAGGACAAACACGCGTACACACAGGCGCGCCCCTCCGACCTGCCCGCTCCCGCCAGGCACCTCGGGCCCGTAACCCAGAGCCCCAGGCCTCCCACTGGACACTTCGTCCCCATCCACTCCGCATACCCCGAACGGGCTCCTCGCGGTGGGTCTCTGGGACACCCTCGGCCGCCGCCGCCATGCCCGGCCCCGTGCTGCTTCTGGTTCTGGGATGCCTGCGCATGCGCGCCGGGCGTGCCCCGCCCTCCCCGCCCGGAGTTCATTGCCCTGTGATTCTGCGCTTCTGGGCTAAGCCATACCGCAAGGAATGAGTGATAGCCAAGCGTAGGCACCAAGCCGAATTTGAAGCTAAAATAAGCTTCGTGAGTCGATCAGATGCCAAGAGTCCGATGTCTGGAACAAAGGATGCGCTCAATTCTGCGGCCACTCCCTGGCGGAATCACTAGCCTAGTAAGACCTCTCTGGGATGGGTCGAGCCCAGTGCGGCCTGCTGACTAAAATGACCGAAGACAAGTTAGCCCCTCCCCAGAGAATCCTCACCCCGGCTGCTATTAGTCACTGAAAGACTGCTCAAGGAATCCTTGCTTTTGAAGATAGTCTCATCTAGGCTCTGGGAAACCTTCGGGCATTATACCTGAGCCGAAATACTCTCCCTTCCTATGTCCTAGGTTAATATCGGCTCATTGGACCTTTTTTCCCAAACTTCAGTCTGGCACCTACATCTCTTGGGTTGATACAGCGTTTCTTTGTTTATTTACTTTTGGCTGTGTTGGGTCCTTGTTGCTGCGCATGGGCCTTTTCTAGTTGCAGCGAGTGGGGGCTACTCATCATTATGGTGCATGGGCTTCTCATTGCTGTGGCTTCTCTTCTTGCGGAGCATGAGCTCTAGGCTTGTGGGCTTCAGTAGTTGTGGCTCGCAGGCTCTAGAGCACAGGCTCGGTAGTTGTGGCACACAGGCTTAGTTACTCCGTAGCATGTGGGATCTTCCAGACCAGGGCTCGAACCCGTGTCCCCTGCACTGGCAGGCGGATTCTTAACCACTGCTCCACCAGGGAGGTCCGGAAACAGCCTTTCTTGAAGAAAGCTTAGATCATAATTTTTTAGGACTGAGGATACACTCTGGTTATCTTAATTGCATTCAGCTGTTTCACAAGACTTCTGGGTGTATAGATTGTATTTGATGGGATGGGAGAATGCAGGTGGGTGAAGGGAATGGATGAAAAAAGAAACTGGAGAGCAATGGAAGGTGCAGAATGAGGGAGGGATAAAGGTCATAGGGGCAGAGAGAGGGGATAGATATCAGGTCTCAGGATGCAGGCCTATACATCCAGAATCTTGGTGTAGGAGTTTTTTGTCTTATTCCTACTTATCCTCCATCTGCACTCTCACTGCCCACACCCAACAGCGCACACATGCACACACAAACACACACACCATAATCTCTTCACTCTAAGGACCAGGCCTCCCTAGGTCACTGTCTCCACTCCCTCCAATGGTAGTGTCCACTATTTCAAACTATTCCTATGAGTCAGAAATTTTTCTTTCAGAACTCCTGGGGCAGCCAGCTTCTTCACATTGTCACTGCCTCAACTCTACACCTCCCAGCAGGGATGAGCTTTCTCCAGCCCAGGTACAAGGATGGTTCACAGTTCCGGACTCTCTTCTTTCCCCTGCAGTCCCCGAAGCAAGTGCAAAGTCCTGGTTTTCCTAAGGATTTTTATTGATAATCACCAGGCAAACCCACATTGTCCTATGGAAGAGAGTCAGAGTCCCCCACATTTTATCCAAATATCTTGGAATCCTGAGGTCATTTCTTTGCCAGCTTCTCCTCAGGCTCCATCTCTGTCCTGGTTTACAGCCCCCTCAGTGTTCAGTGACATGTCTGGAGGTAGGCTCTTCCACTGAGTCTTCCTGGACTTTTTTTTTTTTTTTGCGGTACGCAGGCCTCTCACTGCTGTGGCCTCTCCCGTTGCGGAGCACAGGCTCCGGATGCGCAGGCTCAGCGGCCATGGCTCACGGGCCTAGCCACTCCGCGGCATGTGGGATCTTCCCAGACCGGGGCACGAACCCATGTCCCCTGCATCGGCAGGCAGACTGTCAACCACTGCGCCACCAGGGAAGCCCATCTTCCTGGACTTTGCTGGGGAAGGCTAGGGGAGGTCACCACTGCAACTCCTCTGCAACATTGTACTCTCCCCAGAAGAGAAAGTGTCCTCTCTGGCTTCCCCTTCTCTTTCACAGGGAAACCCTATAGGGAAGACATGAACCCTATGGGTACTGGCAGTAGATCTCTAGATGCACAGAGGAAAAGGTTCACTGGCAAGTAGGAAGACATCTAGATATTGCTGTTCTCTCAGCTTCTACTTTTTTCACAAATCATGGCTATCCAGATGCTTAGGAAAGTTATTACCCTCCTTCCCTTTATTTTTTTTTATTGACTTTAAAAAAAATCATCACAGCAGAGTTCAGAGCACAGGGAGTGAGAGGCCCAGCGGGAAGTATTTCACAGAGTTACACACAGAAACGTTGGCTCAGAAGGCCAGGCACAGGGCGGGACTCAGCAGCAGCAGTGGTGGGACCCGCTGCTCTAGAAGTGGAGGGCGTGTGCTGAGGGGGCTTATGGGGAGGTGGTGACAGAGGAGCCTGCTGTCTGATGCTTTAGGATCCCTCCCCCACCACTCTCCTGCCCGCCCTGGAGTCCCCAGGGGGCTGGAGTCACAGCTGGGGCTGCCTGCAGGTGCTCCCAAATGCCTTGTTCCCGCTGTTGGAAGAAAAAGTGACAGGTCATTTGGAGGAGGAGTTTGTGTCCCACTTTTCCTTTTACCTGGATCTGTTTCTCCAACCCCAGACACTGTCCTAGAGGCTAAGGCTGCCCTCAAGGCCAGAGCAACCAACTTCAGGTCTTCCCTCCAACCCCCACCTCCACGATTCACTGACTACTGGGAACATGTTGCCCCAGGAGCCTGAAACATTGGTCTTTCAAAAATGTTTTGCCTCTACCCACTGAGTGGAAAAGCTGGTAGAGTTCAACTGTGGGAGCCGAGAGGATCCAGGTGAGAGATCACTCACCATGCCTGGAAAGGGAGCCAGCTGCCCTTTCTTCTCCAGCATCGGCAGCTTTGAGCCCATGGCATCCATCTGGGTCATGACTCCTTCCAGGACAGTCTCCAGCTGCACAACTCTCCTTGTGAGCCTGTGCAAGATTTGAGAGAGACCAAGGGAGCAGAAATATGTGTGTGGAGGGCTGGGTGATTCCAGGGATGGGGGTACAGAAGAGTATGTGTCTGGATGGGAGCAAGGAAGGTAAGGCCCAGCCTTGTCAGGAGAATTAAAGGGGGAGAGGGGTTTTCCCTGGGGTAGTACAGGGAATTGGAAGGTTGTGGAAAGAAGCTCGAGGTAGGATGGCATAAACACAGTCAGCCCCGGGCCCCCGGGCTGCACGTACATGTAGAATTCTTCTCCTGAAACCCAGCCACCTGCTTTGGCAGCCTCTGGACTCGACTCGCCTGGTGGGCTACTCACAGTGGACCGGTGCAGGTTCTCAGTCTCAGCGGTGAGGGCCACCTGATCAGGAGGTCAGAGAGCAGAGAGAAGACGACTGGGAAGCCATCAGGTCCTGCTCCATCACCTGCTCTACCGGGCTCGCGGGACCGGGCTTCGGGCTCCAGTGCTTGCTATTCCCCTTCCCTCTCAGACTCTGGAGACAACAGAATCAGAATGGTCATGCTGAACACAAAGCTGGCCTAACCTCTGGGAGAGAATCACCTCCACAAGAAACAAAACACAAGCTCCTTGAAGCATTGATGAATGAGGCTCTCACTAGAAGCCAACTCCGTTTGGGAGAGCACGGACAGTGTCCTGGAACTGTTCCTTTTACCCTTGGCTTTTTGGTCTATACTGGATAGGGATGAAGCAGGCATAGCAGGGGCAGCTAAGGATCAGAGTTGGAGAACCCCAAGGAAGAGGCAGCTGCTCAGAAGGAATTGTCAGGGATTCTCAGACAATTGGTCCTTTTCTCCCTAAGACGACGTTTTAGAGCAATGGTGATCAACCTTGGCTATGCACTGCAGTCACCTGGGGGGTTGTAAAAAGGACTGATGGCTGGGCCTCCCAACTCCCCCAGAGATTCTGGTCTAGGGTGTGTGGCCTGAGCATGAGGATTTTTTTAAAGCTCTCTGGGGCGTTCTAATATGCAGCAGTTTGAGAACCACTATTCTAGAGAGCTCTTTCCTGCCCATCTGTCAGAGGACTTCCAGTTTGGGCTTGTGTTCCAGGTGTGCTGGCAGGGAGGGTAGGTTGAGCAGTTTCCTTGTAGCCTGTCCACCAGCCAGGCTAACCCTTTCCTCCTCCAGGTCCTGCCGCATTTCTTCCTGCTCTTTCTCATCCAGGATGTGATTCCCATCTTAGTCAAACCTGGTGAAGGCAGCCGTGAGCTCAGTGATCTCATGCTCTATGTGCCCCAGCCTGAGGAGAACATGGTGGTGAAATGACTTCTGACCTGCCGTGGCTGGGAGCTTTCCGTTATGGACTCCCCACTCTTTTTTGCTAGACTCTGGCAAGAGCCTTGCTCTCTAGGAAAGAAGGGGGCCACACGAGAAAGCCAGGATATCCAAGATGTAGCGATTTGACCCCCCAAGAAATCACTTGAATCTATTTCTTCCTTCCCTGACTCCTGCTGACTAGGTTCAGGCCCTCATGATCTCCTAAAGGAATTACTGCGAAATCTCTTTGCCTCCAGATAACCTGCCCTCTCCCCGACACCCCCTGCCCTATGGTCTTCCCTTCCCCTGAAATCCAACCTTCATAATGCAATTAGAGTAATTAACCTTTCTAAAGTACAAGACTAAATATACCCCTTCCCTGCTTAAAATCCCTCCTGGGCACCCTATTCTTTGAATAGAGTAGTGGTGTTCAAGGCTTTTCCCAGTGTGACCTTAGCCCATTTCTCTGGCCTCATCTGCTCTGCCCGACCTTTCATCTGATACCTTGCAATGCTCAGCTACTTATTACTCCTGTGTATGTTGCTCAATTTCATACCTCTTTGCCTTTGTATATGCTTTTATTACCCCATGCTCCCTCTCTTCTAGTTACTTCTATTGTGGAACTTGTTCAGTGATTCTGTTTATTTGCTTACAGACTCTATGAACTCCTGGAGGACAAAGACTTTGTCTCATTCAACTGTGTGCCTGGCTCACAGCTGGTGCTCACAATATATTTGTTCAATGCTTGTTAATATGTTTAACTGGGAAGCAGGGAGAGGATGGCTAAGGAAATAGACCTGTGTTTGTGGGGGAGCATAGAAGTAAGATCAGAGTTTTATGCTGATCTTAGTTGGGAATGAGGGATGTATATGATGATTAGGGTATCATTATTACACTAGTCCTAAGAGTTGTTCAACAAGGTCCAGAATATCATAGAACATTGTCAGAGTCCTTTAAACCAAGGGCACAGTTCTGAAGGTCAGGATCAGAGACCTATAAACCAAGGTCAAAGGCCTGTAAGCCAAGGTCAAAGGCCCACTGTCCAAGGTCAGAGGCTTATAGGCAAAGGATGTATGCTTGAGGGTCAAGGACTTACAGACCAATGTCAGGGAAGGTTGGATCTCTGGGTGCTCACTCCTTCAAGGTGTTGGTGAAATCCTCAAACTGGATCTTCTGCTCCCCACCCTGCAGGACCTTCTGCACGTCTGAAACCTGCTCCTTCCTCAGATGCAGCCTCAGGAGGGCCTTGTTGTAGCCATGGAAGGGGAAAGGAAACAGGCACCAGTTCCCACAGCCTCCTCTTCATCTCTTACTCCCACGCCCACCCACAGGGTGACAGGATCCCAGGGATAAGCTGAAGGCACACATGGGCACAGGCCCCAACCAGTCAGGCACAGACCAGGACACAGAGCCTTGGACCTGGGCCCTGATGCACATGTGTGGCTCAAGGAGACTAAGTAGTCACCTGTTTCAGGAGGTCCGAAAGCTGTAGCTCATCCTTCTGTCCAGCCAACTCCTCTTTGACCTCTGAGTATGTGTCATTGATGATGGCCAGAAACATATTCTGGAGGATAAAACAGGGACTGGGGTCCTTACTCCCAGACCCATTAACAGCATTGAGCCCATTGACCCTATTAATGTCCCAGACACATGTTCTAAAAGGGCCAGTGGTTTCAGCCCCAGCTCTGCAGCCCACTAATCCCCACATCTCTGGGTCCCCAGAGCCCAGCCTTTCAGCATAATTCTGTTACAGATGGGTCATGCTCCCTCATCAACCGGGTGTCCTCACTCAACTGCTGCAGTAACGACCACAAAGATACCCCAACATATGCCACAGACCCCCTCCATGTAAGAGTCCACCAGTCACTGAAGCCAGAAACTTTCCACGGTGAGAGTAAAATTGTGCTCTCTTTACCATCCATCCCCAATCCATGTCTGTATCCCCATCCACTGATCAAATAAAGAAACACACTGGCTTTCCTGATAAAAATCAAACCCAGATCTTTCATGGTTGGCAGGGAGAGAGAGCAAATACAAAACAGTGGTAGTAGAAAAAGCCAGAGATCCCCAGAGGAAGGGGAGTCTTAGAGAATAGGCGGAGAAGCTTCTAGGGGCAGTCTCTTCTCCTCATGAGGCACTTTTCCTTCTCCTTCCATCCTTGGAGGATAGGGGTTTGATTTTAGTGAGGGAGCCTGCAGATTTCCTTATACTGTGCAAACTGCCTAACTGTGCTGACCACACATTAGCCAGCTCTCAGAAGATCCGGAAGCTCTTCCCTCCCCCACCTCTCCACCCTTGATTTGAGAAACCCATCATAATCATTAGTGCACAACATGGAGGGGGGTCAAACCCCCACCCTGCAGGCCATCCACGTCTCCACCCCTCAGGTTCCCAAATCCCCACCCCTCAGAGGGACCCTCACGAGGAGCACAAAGAAGACGAAGAAGACATAGGTGAAAAAGTAGGCTGGTCCCAGGATGCGGTTGGCGTTGTTGATAGCATTGTAGTCAAAATCCCCAAGGATGATCCGGAACTGAGTGAAACTTAGAGACCGGGGTCTGGGACTCACCCAGAGCCTGACCACAACGCTGACCCCATCCCAATTTCCTTCCTACCGCTCTTCAGTGAACTCAGACCCGTCCCTGCACCTCCACCCAATCTGATGGAGACAGAACAGGGTGCAAAGACACTGAGCACACACACCAGGGCTTCCAGGAACTCACACAGATGCTTAAGCACAGACACGCCCACGTCCACATACCCAGCTGCCCCAAGGATACACACATCCACAGAGCTGGAGGGTGAGGGGCCAGGGAGGAGCGAAGGGGCAGAACACACACATGCACTTGATGAAAGTGTTGAAGCTTTCCACTTGGGTCCCAAAAAGCAGGTAGCCCAGCTGGGCGTAGGCAAAAAACACGATGAAGAACATGACGGCGAAGCCCAGGATGTCCTTGGCACAGCGGGCCAGCGTGGAGGAGAGCTGGGTCATGGTCTTACTGAAGCTGATGTACTTGAATATCTGGAAGGGCCATGTTGAACCAAGCAATTAGGGAAGAAAACAGAAAAGCCTGGAACGGTCCATCCCAGGGGCCTAAGGGGGCCACAGGAGTTGCCACACCAGACAAGGAAAATGAGACAAGTCCTGAGGAAGGGAGAACGCGTGCCCTGAGGTGTTGCTGGGGGTGAGGAATCCCAGGGTACCTTGATCCAGGCAAAGAAGAGGTTGACAGCGTTCATGTTGTATTGTGTCTGCCAGAAGGCAAGGAACTCAAAGTCAGCATACGTGTTTGGCTGCTGCAGAAGCTTCCCCATCAGCCGATTCACCTCGAGGGTTCGGAATATGTGGAAGCCCACATCCACGATGGAGAGCTGTTACAACAGGACCCGGGGGGTGTCAGAGAGTCAAGAGGATCTCAAGGGAAGTTCAACAGTGAGGTCCCAGGGGTGAGCTACGGTGCGTAAGGCAGGTGGGGAGAAAAACCACATCCTTCCCTGCTGAGTTGTTGACTATCTCAGGTTCAAAAGGAACAGGATAGGATGATTGGGGAACGTCTTAAAGCCCAAGAGAAGGCTTTAGGGCCAGTGGTAAATATGTAGGTTGTAAAGGACCATGGAGAAATGGAGCCAAGCAATTTTATTTCCCCCACCACTTCCCAGCCTTGGTCAGAAATTAATGTGTCCTGTTAATAGGAAGGTGACGAAGATGAAGAGGCAGAAAATTTTAATAGGAGTGAAGAGAAAAGGCAGGGGGGTGTCAAGGGGACAGGTCATGAAGGCAAGAGACAGAAGAGGAACTTAATATCAAGTACAAAAATAAAAGAGCAGGGCCTGGATCATAAGCCAGAGGGAGAGGGGATATAGAGACAGGATTTTTCCAGGGCTGAGCCAGGGGAACATCAGCCTTTGGTTTAGGGAGCTGTTACTCAGTGATTTGACCAGAAGTCACAAGGAGGACTTGGGACTCCAAAAGGAAGAACTTGGAGCCCCTATCAGGGTAGATTCCTTCCACCACCCCATATGTCCCAAGTCTAAGATATCTGTCCCTCACCAAGATGACCACCAGGTCCAGAATGTTCCAGATGCTGCTGAGGTAACGAAGCCAGTGGATGTGGAGCTCCAGGCTCTCCTCCACTATGTAGTAGAAGATGAAGATGCAGAAGATGATCTCACAGCCAATGATAAAGAAGTCCCACTTGCCGACACAGCGGATCAGCTTAACTGCAGATTTGCCAGGATGGGATGGTACCTCCTGTAGCTGGAAACTCCACCACCAGTCTGTGGGAGGAGGGGGAGATGTCTGGTAGGGCCTGGGCTGGAACAGTTCTACCCATCCCCTCCCCTCCCCACCCCCACCATAGGGTACAAGTTTAGGGAAAGGTCTCCAGCAGAGGAGAAGGGAATCAGGAGCCATGGATGGAGGGAAGGCAGGGAACGGGGACCCACCTCAAAACACAGAAAAGATTAATGTTGGCGTTGTAGACTGAGAAGTCAATGAAGACCGCCCGACTGCCCCTGTCCAGCCACAGGCCCTCCTGAAGGTCCCTGAGTGCCTCTGCACTAGCCTGTCGAGATCCTGGAAGGTCCAGGTGGTAGCCACCTCCGCTGTAGCTTGTGAGCTGGCCCCAGTGAGAGGAGCCCCCCAGCTCATCCTGCGAGTGGTAGGTCTATCTGTCACAGAAGAAGCCATCTGAGCAGAGAGGTCTGAACCAGCCCCAGAAGCTGGTCTCCCAAGGCAACGGCAATACTTTATAATTGTCTTGGCTTTACAGTTTCATATATATATATATATATATATATATATATATATATATATATATATAATATATTTCACATATATTACCTTGTTTAATATAACTATTTGAGGAGGGGAGGGTAAATATTATCTACATTTTACAAATGAGGAAACTAAGACTCAGATAGCTGAGATAATCCAACTAGTTAGTGGCAGAACTGAAACTCAAATGTAAATCTCCTGATTTTCACGTTGTCACCAAGCCTACGGATGACAAACCCAAGCCCACTTTTTGACTCCAGCCTGAGTAGTCCCCATAAGGGAAGCATCCGGCCCGCATAAGCCAGAAAAGACCCCTTCTGCTCTTGTAGTTTTGCACCTGTCTACTTAACCCTATGATTTTCTGTTCTGTCCACAAACTTTCCTCCCTGGACCCTTATTTCCTTCCCCTTCTTCCTGTCTTATCCACACATCTCCCATTTCTTCCCTAATTCCTCATCCATCCTTGGCCCCTTTCTGCCTTCCGCTATTAGTTCCAAGGGTCAGACTCTTCCAAGCATGACTCGTGTGGCAGCATCAATGTTTCATCCATTCTCCATACCCCTGAGGGAATGCTGGGCAAGAAAGGATGCTTCCTCTGGCAGGACTGCCTCCAGAGTAGGGCAACTGTGACTGTGACCTGTGTGTGGAAACAAGTCCAGAGGCTATGGCTCTGTCTGCTAACACACCCTCTCTGTTCCTCAGTGACCCCAGACCAAGGTCTCCAAACAGTCACAGATGGGTCTCAGAGAGATGCCCCCCAGCTCCCCCAAGTACCCCAAGGCTCCTTAAGACTCAATGGAAGTGGTTCCCAAACCTGGGATGGTGTCAGGCTCAGAGGGGCAAGCCCTGCGACACTGGTGGGGGGACTCACTCACGCTATGCCACTGAGGAGACCAAATGGGAGTTGTTCTTCTTTGTCTGGGGTGTAGACGTCGTGGCAGCTCAGAATGTCCTCGTGGAAGTCCTCGTGCACCACTCAGGAGTCATTGCGGACCCTCAGCTGCCACAGCCTCGGAGCCCCCAGCAGCAGGTTCTCATAGTAGATGAAGGAGTGGGAGCCGCGGCCCAGGCTCTGGTTGTTGTACCATTTGGTCCAATACAAACTGTCCAGTAGTGGGCCCTGGGCAAACTAGACCGTGAACTGGGTTGAACCTGACCCAGCCTCATCCTGACCCTTACCCTTAGAATGACCTTTTCCCACACTCCCCTCCAGCTTGTCTCCAGTATGCTTCTGTTGGACTCTTCAGCTGAGTCATGAACCTTGGCCAGATCTTAGCCTGATGTGGCCTTATTCTTTATTTAAAATACAGTTTGAAATTCTGCCTTACCTCTGATTCTCAATACTAGTTGAAGTACTGACTTAAATCTCTGATTATCATCCTGATTTCTAACCTATCACTACCTGAACTCTGTCTAGTCTGACCCTTTAATTCATGCCTGATCCTTTGACTCGGCCTGATTCTGGAATGACCTGGTCTCTGGATATGGCCTTATCCACTGTCCACTGACATCCCTGAACCCTGGCCTGTGGCCTCAGGCTTTAGGCCATTGAGAAGAAGAGGGGAGGGACAGAGAAGATCTCATACTCACATCCCAGAAGTCGGCCATGCTGCTGATGGCCTGGAAGGAGACTCCAGTGTCTAATGGGGTATGTACGAAGAGCTCAGACCTCACTTTGGTGTAGTAATAGGCGCTGGAGCTTGTCATTCCATAGGTCTCTAGAAACCAACCCAAGAGGCTGTGTCTTGAACACTGTTCCCTTCTCCATTATCCAGAGGGGACAGGAAAGCCTCTGCCCTGAGGCCAAAGATGCCACCCGGATGGGACCTATCCCCTAGAGTTGGCTAAGGAGGCTGACGGTTGCATTGGGGAAACCAGGGAATACATTAGGGAAGAGTTGTGGTTATAAGCTCTCTTTCTCTCTTCCCAACTCACCTCAGAAAGACTGAACTCCACTCAGTAATTATCTCTTGACATCGTCATTCTGAATATTCACTTTTCTCTTCCGGAACCAGCTTAACTTCCTAGTTCTTACTCCCCAGAGCCAGGAAATTTCTACCTTCTGCATCAGGTAGTGCTTCCTTTTATTTGTCCTCTATTAATGCCCTTGGGAAAATGCCTCCAAATTCTAGCGTATGCCAAGGCCCTGGTCAAATATCGTACAATGGAGATGTGGTATCTTGGACCTTGGAGTCAGCGACTCTGCAGTCATGGGAGTAGGAGGTAGGCATGGCACCTCTGGCCCTGGTGCATCCTGATGGGCACAGTTGTCTCCTGAGAGAGGGACTCAGAGCATCCCCAGATCAAAATAAAACATGGCCTTTGCCCTGAAAAACTAGATCTCCCTTGACCACCCTAATACACACATCTGAAGTAGGGCTGTCAAGGGACGCTATAAGTTTTCTGGTTAAAGGCACAATTTGAAGAGTATAAGCCATTTACTTCATAGATTGCCCCTCAATTTAGATTTGTTTGATATTTTCTGTGTTTAAATTCAGATTATACATTTTTGGCAAGGAATATCAAAGAAGGAGACTGTGTCCTTTTCAGTGCATGATATTAGGAGGCATAAATTGTGTAACCGTATTATTACTGGTGATATTAACTTTGATCCCTTGTTAAGGTGGTATCATCCAGCTTTCTTCAATATACAATTATTATTTTTCTCTTTGTAATGAATACATATTCTGTGGGGAAATACTTGGAAACTATGCAAATATCCTGTTATTCATCAATCTTTCATTTACTAGTTTTAGCATCCTTTGACAACTTTTGCCTAATTATTACTATTAAGGTTGTCAAGCTGTGATTTTCTCATTCCATCATTCCTTCTGCATTTATTAGTTGGCATTCTCTTCAGGAAGAGCTTTTCCTTCTTCCTCATTAATTTATTCATGTATATATATCAGTATGAACTCATGGATTCCTGTCTTTTCTTTAAAATTTTTATAATTCTATAAAACTTTTTATAATTTGTCAATATTTTGAATTGTTACTCAGTTTTTTAGCCAGGTCATGAAAAACAAAGAAATTGTCCTAAAATACTAAAGAACCATGAAAACTACATGCAATATGTGCATCCAGTTAGGATTATATCCTGGACCATAATTTTTTTCTTTTGCTGTAAAGGCTATTAGTGGAATAATTGGTGAAACTGTAATAAGGTCTGTTCATTAGATGATAGTACTGGATCATCGATAATTTCCTGACTTTGATCATTTCCTTGTTTTTACAAAATACACATTAAAGTATTTAGAAATAACAGGACATTATGTCTGCAGTTTACCCTCAAACAGTTGTGTGTGTATATGTGTGAAGAGAAAGAGGCGGGCAGAGAGAGAGAATGATAAAGGAAAAGCAAGCATGGTAAAATATTCGTATTTGGGAGATCTGGGTGAAATATATGTAAGAACTCTTTGTATTACTCTTGTAACTTTTCAGTTCACTAATTAAACTTTAAATCAAAAAATTAAATCAAAAAATTTAAAGTAGGATTTGTCAGCCTCTTGTGAGCAATTCCCTTTAAGAATTTTATTTTCAAATCTTGGAACATATTTTATTCCCTTTCTGGAAGGGGAATGCTTTGGTGTGGACTGAAGTTCATCCACAGTCTTGGGGGAAAGAAAGGCCGGTGAGTGGTCCCAGATTAGGCACAAGCAACATCATACGTTTCCAGGAGGAAATCAGCAAAAGGAAAGCATTATTATTTCACATTTCCGCATTCCACTCTATTAATTCCAAGAAATGACTTGACTTCTCTCTAAATCAAATCTGTGATTCCCATCCTCAGTATCTGTAGGACTCAGACTCAACTCTTCTGGATCTGGAAAATGGGTTGGAAATCAAACTTCTGTCTGCTGAGGGTCCGCCGCAGTTAGAACTGATGGTCAGTGAGCTGAACTTTTCCTAAAGACATTGCTGATTAAATTGTTATACCTCTAGATGGCCACTAGGTGGTAGTCACGGCTATATCTTTTCCTCCTCTCCAATTCTCCAAAGCTACCACTCAAAATCAGTATTGCTCTGAACAGATTGTCAACCCTTTACGGAGGCATAACATCACTGATTATTATCCAAGACAGTAAAGACTATGTATTCTGAGAAAAATGGTTTCACCTAGTCAAATACCCACTGATACTCAGAACACCTAATATATGCCCTATGTTAAGTGCTTGACATGCTTATTTCATTTAATCCTACAACAACCTTATGTATTAGGTGCTATTATTTCCCAGTCTCAGAGGGCTGAAGTCACTTTCCCAAGGTAAACAACTAAGGGAGCCAGGATTCAAATGCAAATCTGTTTGCCTCCATAGTAAACTAATTCTGTTCTGCTTTAAGGACAGCACTATATCCAAAAGGTAGAAGTTACAGGAGGGAAAACTTAAGTTTCATAAAAGGCAGAGATTCCTAACCATTAGTGCTTCCTATTAAGAAAAGGACCACACTTCACAAACATCCATTTTGCCCCTGAGAGTGTCAGCAAAGGACCATCTGCTGAGGATCACGTGGAAGGGGTTCCTGCAATGGGCAGTGGCTGGCCTTCCTGGAGCCTTCCTTTAAGATCCAGTGAAGGAGTGGAGTTGCTCTGTGTGCTTCAAAAGGTAACACTAGGCCAGAGAAAGGACAGGAGCAGGGAGGAATCAGAATTTGTGTCAGTATATCAAATGTCAGTATGTCAGCACTTTAACACCTTTTAGGTGTAGTGAGGGCCTCATTCCAGGAAATTTTCAGACACTGGACAATGACTGCATGAGAATGCTGTGAAAGGGATTCAGAGACCAGGTGGCCACATCCACTACAGGAAATCTGATGTTTTTTCTCTTGGACAGAAACTAAATTCTCCTATACATTATATCATGCCTTTTACCCTTGGCTTCAGGTCAAATTCACAGTTGCTGAATAAAAACAATAATCACTACTACTGACACTTATTATTCACCAGGCTTTGAATACAGTTTCTCCCATAATCCTGAAAAAAAACCTCATAAAGTAGTAGGAACTATCTGTATTTTATGCAGATAACTGAAATCCAAAATGTTATTAAATAATGTGTCCAAAGATCAGATAGCAAAGAGGTAGACTTGAATTCAAACTCAGGTCTGATTCTCTCCAAAGACCCTGAATTTAGCCACTGCTCTACATTATACTAACATATCACTCCACTACTCAAAATCCTTCTGATTAGGGACCTGACTCTCCTTCCAAAGGTCAATCCAAATGGTTAGGATTGTGCACGTTTATAAGGTATCCTTATAAGAAAACTATTTGAAGAGTTCAGTATCTGAGTCAGGAGGCAAATTATGAAAGCAGTTGGTAAACTCAAAAGATCAGCATCTTAAAAGAAGCTTCAGGGACTTCCCTGGTGGCTCCGTGGTTAAGAATCCGTCTGCCAATGCAGGGGACACGGATTCGATCCCTGTTCCAGGAAGATCCCACATGCCGCGGAGCAAAGATCCCACATGCCACGGAGCAGCTAAGCCCGTGCGCCACAACTACTGAGCCTGCATGCCACAACTACTGAAGCCTGTGCACCTAGAGCTCGTGCTCCGCAACAAGAGAAGCCACTGCAATGAGAAGCCCGCACACCGCTTGCTGCAACCAGAGAAAGCCTGCGCACAGCAACGAAGAGCCAATGCACCCCAAAAAATAATAATAAATTAATTTTTTAAAAAAAGAAGCTTCAAATTTCTTCATTCTGGTATAAGTGAATAAATGTATATAAATCTGTATGAAGAATCATACTCTGACATAGATGAGTCTCGAAGGAAAAAAATCGCAGGCATAAAAATGTTACCTGGGTTATTTACAACATCAAAAAATTACAAGCAACCTAAATGTCCTACAGAGAGGCAATAAATTATAGATAATTATAAATAACATATCACTGAGCCACTTAATGGAGTATGATACAACCATTGAAATGGTAATAAAAGCAAAATGCAAAATTGTTTTGCTGCTATCATTACATTTAAATATTTTAAAAATAGTAAATATATAAAACCTTAAAGGAAAATTGAACTTTTTAATGAATAGTATAATAGGCAGATTTTATTTCTCTTCATTCCCATGGAGTTCAATTAATGCTATAATAATAGAACATAAAAATAATAAAATCATTTTTAAAATCTTTCTACCTATTTGTTTTCAAGTCACAGGATAAAATTTCCAGGTGCTGGATGCTATATTGGGCTTTGTGACTACTTCCTAAGACCCTCTCTTGGTTCATACCATGATTTTATTTGAGGTATCACACCTCTACTAAGCATCTCACATATGTTGCCAGATGCTGAATCCACAGCTGGCTCTAGGACTTGGACAGGGAGCTCAGTGCTAAGCTAATCCACAAATACCCCTCCCTTGGTACCATTATCAGTTCAGGGATGGGCATGTAATCCATTTGAGATCAAGAACTCATGAAGAGAGATTTGTGGAACATTTTGGGACCTACTGTCTCTTACTAGATATGAATAAGAAAGCCCCAGATGATCCAGACTTAGCATGAAACTGATTGTGCAGCTGAGAGAACTGAATAACAGAAACAGGTGAGTCTTTGATGATGTCCTTAAGCCACTGGATTGATCAGCCCTGAACCCTGTCCTCCTTTGGACTTTCATTACCTAGACAAAAAATTCCATTCAGGTTTAAGCCTGTTTTCACTGGATTTTATTTTATTGTGACATATTCCTTACTTATAGGAAAACCACGACATTTTCAA